TGAAGAGATTGAAGACCTGAAGAAGAAGCTTGCTCAGGAATTTGAAATCAAAGACCTGGGAGAATTGAAGTATTTTCTTGGCATGGAGATAGCCAGATCAAAGAAGGGAATTGTGGTATCCCAAAGGAAGTATGTACTAGACCTACTTCATGAAACAGGTATGAGTGCCTGCAGACCAATAGATACTCCAATTGACGCTAATCAAAAGTTAGGAAATGTCAAGGAAGGAGTACCAGTTAATATTCACCAATATCAAAGATTGGTGGGAAGGTTGATTTATCTGGCACATACAAGGCCAGATATTGCCTTTGCAGTCAGTATGGTTAGTCAGTTCATGCATAATCCATTCCAAGAACATCTAGATGCTACCTACAGGATCCTAAGATATTTGAAAAGTTGTCCAGGGAAAGGATTATTTTTTAAAAGAAGTGACAATAGAAGTGTAGAAGCCTTTACAGATGCAGATTATGCTGGGTCAATAACTGATAGAAGGTCTACATCTGGGTATTGTACTTATGTATGGGGAAATCTGGTGACTTGGAGGAGTAAGAAGCAGAATGTTGTTGCCAGAAGTAGTGCAGAATCTGAATTTAGATCTATGGCTAATGGAATCTGTGAACTACTTTGGATCAAGAGAATGATGACAGAGTTGAAGATGGAAATGGACCTACCTATGAAGTTATATTGTGACAATAAAGCAGCCATTAATATTGCTCACAATCCTGTGCTACATGATCGTACTAAACACATTGAGGTGGACAGGCATTTTATCAAAGAGAAGATTGAAGCTGGAATTGTGTGCACACCATTCATATCTACTAAAGAGCAGACAGCTGATATCTTTACAAAGGGGCTGTTTAAACCAGTGTTTGAATTTCTTATAAGCAAGTTGGGAATGTATGATATATACTTACCAACTTGAGGGGGAGTGTAGAAAAATGTAGGATATACATGTTATTTTATTATGTGTAAATCCGAAACTGTATAGATAGGAATTAGAGTTGATTTAGGACTCTAACTCTTAGATTAGCTCGCAGTGTAGATAAGAATAGATAGATCCTAATATTTAGGATCTGTAACAAACCTTAGCTTATCTGTAACCTTGTATATATATCATTGCCGGATGGCTCAATAATACATGGAAGATTAATTCTTCAAACCTACAGGTTGTTATACTACAAGGGAAGGCTGATGATACCCCAAAATTCTCCTAGAGTGACAAGGATTCTTATGGAATATCATGATTCTACAACAGGAGAACATTATGGCAATTTCAGAACTATGAAGAGGATCTCAACACTGTTCTACTGGGTTGGTATGAGGAAGCAGATTCAGCAATATGTGCAGAATTGTGATGTTTGTCAAAGAAACAAGTATCAAGCTTTGAAACCTGCGGGGTTGTTACAACCGTTACCTATTCCAGATTGCATTTGGACAGATATAAGCATGGATTTTATTGGTGGTTTGCCAAAAGCTCAAGGGAAAGACACTATCCTGGTTGTGGTTGACAGACTAACCAAATTTGCACATTTTATAGCTTTGTCTCATCCATTTAATGCTAAAGGAGTTGCTGAAATCTTTGTCAAAGAAATAGTGAGACTCCATGGATTTCCAAAATCCATAGTGAGTGATAGAGACAACATTTTCTTGAGTTCTTTTTGGTCTGAGTTATTCAAACTGGCTGGCACACAGTTGAGATACAGTACTGCGTATCACCCTCAATCAGATGGCCAAACGGAGGTTGTAAATAGGTGTTTAGAAACCTATTTGAGATGTATCACAGGGAAGAAACCTAAGGAATGGAACAAGTGGTTACCTTGGGCAGAGTATTGGTACAATACTAATTACCATATTTCCTTAAAACAAACCCCTTACCAGGACTTATATGGGCAAGAACCTCAACCAATTATAAAAGGGGATGTGGTTATGACTGCCAATGATGAAGTGGCAAGACTGACAGCTGAGAGGAATGGAATGTTAGCTGAACTCAAAGAAAATTTAGCTATTGCCCAGAATAAGATGAAGCAGCAAGCAGACAAACACAGGAGGGAAATGAAGTTGGAGGTGGGTGAAAAAGTTTTCCTGAAGATTCAGCCTTATAAGTTGCAGAGTTTGGCTAAGAGGATCAATCAGAAATTGAGTCCAAGGTTTTATGGACCTTTTGAGATCATTGAGAAAGTGAATGCTGTAGCTTTTAAACTGAAATTGCCAGATGATTGCCTGATCCATCCAGTATTCCATATTTCTTTACTCAAAAAGGCTCTAGCTTCCAATACTTGCTGTCAACCATTGCCTAAATGTTTGAGTGAAAACTGGGAATTGTTGGTGAAACCAGAGAAGGTGGTGGATACCAGAGAGGGAACAAATGGCAGAGTTGAAGTTTTGATACATTGGGAAGATCTGCCAGAATTTGAAACGTCTTGGGAAGATGCTCAAGTGTTGAAGACACAATTTCCAGACTTCAAGCTTGAGGACAAGCTTGTTTCTTTGGGGGGGAGTATTGTTAGGACTCCGGCTATTACGAATAATAAGAATAGATATGGTTTAGTCTATTCTAGAAAGAAGAAGTAGTTTAACTGTTTGGCAGGCGGGTAGTTGTTATGAACTATTAACTACTTTTAGTAAGGAGAGGGGACTATAAATAGAATAAACCAGTAAGCAGTTAGGCAGTCTGTTAGATGCTTGGCTTGGGACTGGGAAGTTAGAGTCTTATCTCTAGCTTTGGGACTATTGTATTGTATACCGCCATTAATGAAGTTTGTGGATTGTTTCAAGTTCGTATTGTATATTGTGGATTGCGAATTGTTACTATCAAATACTGCCCGTGAAATCTAGCCAGCCTATTCATTGGGACAAGTGTATTTTCAGACAATACAATCTCAACAGCCTGTTCATTGGGGCAAGTATATTTTTAGCCAATCAAATCTCTTCTGGGCATGTATATTTTCTTTATGAAAAGATCTTTCATTTTTCTATAACTACTACTACCTAGCAAACAATTTCCGAGCAAAATACAACTCAAATCTTTCTATCTCTTCTCATCCTCTTTTTCTTTCTCAGTCTGCAATATGTAAAGCTATTATTTTATTTGCTCACACAAACAAAAAAAAGTAATTTTTCTATATTGAATGATTTTAAGATGTTTCATGTTAAGGATAAAGAACTACTTTTGAATGTTAAAGAAATGATTAAACTGACTAAATCCAATGCTAAGAGAAGCTCTGCTTCTGTCTGTCTCTGGTGACGGTAAATACTACTTTAGTTGTATAGTTAGAATTTGTCTATAATGTATAGCATTTAAGTAATGTTTACATACAAATTTTAACTTATACATGTATTAGAAAATTGACTCCATGTTTGATTTTTGTTTCACTGAGAAGGCATATATATAGAGTGAAAACACTCTTGCAGAAGGAATGGAGAAGTGTTAGGGATTTGTTTGTTTTGTGTTGTTCTCATTGTGTTACTGTTAAGATGGTATTCCTCCATGTCTCTTTTCCTCTGATATTCTGATTGGATTTGCAAACTTCAGCACAAATGAAATTTAAGAAAGGGGTTTTTGAATTTGGGGTGTATAGAGGCCTAATTATATGTCCCTACCTCCGCCCATGAGCATATAAGATATACTGAGTACTATGTACAATTAACTTGATCAACAGAATGAAATTACTATTTGTTAAATTAGCATAGCGAACTTAGGCATGAATGCTTTATATCTGTTTAGATTCATTTATTTTATTTTTTTATTTCCCTTCCTTCCTTCCCCTGCTTCTTTCCCCTTCCAGTCCCCACCTTGCCCTGCGCACCCTTGATCCTGCCCCCCCCCCCCCCCACGGACGGTTTGGCGCCACGCGGCGCCACCTGGGCCGCATAACACCCAGGCGCACCGAACTACGCGGAGGCAGCATAATGCCCCCAGCACGCCGGCCCTAGACCTAGCCTAAGTACTGCCTAACCTAAACTAATCCCTAACCTAAACCTAAACATGCAGAAAGCCAGAACATAAATACGAATACGTCATGAACTTTAAGATAGGTTCAACATCACTTTTACTACATAGTGAAAATGATTGTACAAATATTAATAGATAAACCATCAACTTTTTATGCACAAAATGACACGAGAACTCCCTGGTGGAACTACAACCTCCAAAAAGTCACATGACTTACACTTGCTTTAAACTTTCTGCTACGGAAATCAAAATGGTCTTTTATGTTTCCTCTGAAGCGGAATTTTAATTTTAAATCAATCATTAACACAGATGATTTAAAACAATGGCTCATTCTCAATGTCAAAGGCACTCTATAAGATTCAGTTATGTCATGTTCTATTCCATGAAAAGCCCACTTATCAAACAATTATTTAGGATTGACAATTGAATAAATAAACGCGTGCTAACCAAAAGCATATTACTTTTAGAACGACTAAATGAAAATAAAAGAAAAATATGTTTAGCATGATTTCTGGGAGACTATTATTCGCACATCTGGTATGCATAGGATTATTCAAAAGAAACCTGAAAAATTTATAATTTTATTTATGAGTTCAGACATCCAAAAACTCAATAGTCTAGAGTAAGATTTTCAAAGCGTATGAATCTAGATTTTGGATAGCAAGTCATTAAACTGGTTTTTATAGACTAATGAGCTTATGTTTTCAGAGGTAATCATTGTGAAAAATAATCAAAGACTACTGAGCTATGTCAAACATATTAAGCAGACCCACAAGGAATGCAAAATAACATTGTGCTTCATCTTTTAAGAAAATAATAAAATATATTCACCAACATATGCACCATAATCCAACATAAGCATGTTTTGACAAAAAAAAATAGGATTAGAAATTACCCTCTTATGTTTGTTTTCTGAAACAAAACAGAGACCTCTTTTTATACAATAGGATTAGAAATTACCCTCATATTTTCTGATTTAAGAAATTAATGGAGAAGTATTAGGGTATATGTGAGCCTTCTCTGGTGCAACATGCAGATAGTTGGTTACCTGAGGACATTTCCCGGAATTGGATGACTTCTCCTGGAATTGCCATATACTGATCCCTTCCTTTCCGGTTCATTTTCCCTTCCTTTTCCTACTTTCCTTTCTGGTTCCTTTTCCCTTCACTGGGTCCAGGAAAATCATGCATTGTATTATTTGGCATATTTCCAACCATTTGCATTTCTGACATAAGATCACTAGACATATTAAAGCAGTTGTACACAACAAGAAGACATTTCACATCAGCTCAATGATACAATTTGATAAATCAACAATGTCACTAAATCTTGATCAATAACATGTAAATAAGAGCTCTGCACATAAAACATAGGATAGTGATGCATCCACTAGTGAATTATTAAACACAAATATGAAGCAAGTAAACAAAATGACAAAAGACTTCTCAAACAACGATCTAACCAAAACAAGAATTCAAATTTATAGCTTAAAAGGGCTGAGAATACATTGAAACTTCACCAAACATGCAGCAGAGAGTGATATATTAAGAAACACAGAGTTGACAGTAGATAATATATGCAGCACTCATTTGTATGAATACTTGAATAGTTTATGTTCCTTTGTATCAATGGTTTTTATTGTAAATGAAAAAACACTTACCACCATTGGCAATATATTGATATTTAAATATCCAAGCAATAGAGGAAGTGAAGAAACTAAATAATCACACAGTTGGCACCCAAGAAAAGGGTTAGAAAGGAAGCACTCTAATGAGTACTGATGTATGTGAGTATGTTATGCTGTGATCATTAAAATCATCATTTCATTCTTTTCATGAATGGTAACTTTTAAAAATATTCTGAAATCTGAACAAATCAAACCAGAACTCTTGATGAAAGAAGCAAACTAACAGCAAGAAGAAAACACAAGTAATGAGTTCACTCCATGAGAGTGGCATGTGGCTTATGAGGCAACATCTCCATTTGTGTAACAAGAGAAATATAAAGAAAGCAAACACCGTTTTGAAATAGATGGTTCATGATACAGGACACAAACAACTTCAAGTTATTTGCCATGCAGCGTGGTTAGTTTTCAGCATATTACTACTAGCTCAAGTCCTTTTGCCTTTAGGAATCACAACTTCATGTAATCATGAAACCCTACCAGAAATGTTATCTGAAATTTTGCACTTTGTTGGCTTTAACAGTTCACTTATAGTGCTTATTCTGATTAACCAAAGATTACATTTGGGACCCAAATTGCAGATATTATTAGCCGTTTTAGCTTACCTTTTTAGAGAAAATGTCTGGATTATGCAATTTTATGTATGGGAAAAAAAATAAACGCTATAACTGCTTTGAAAAGCCCTTTCAGTCTTGCACTAAACATTTACTGCCATACTCCTGCTTGTTGTTCCACAAATTGTCCTCACAGGATCCATTCAGTAGTATACCTTTAGAATACCAGATGTTCTCTAAATGAAAAGAATAAAATAGGAATCTAACCGCAGTATAACTAAAGCATCATACTAGAATTCCACAGTCAACCCTTCCAGTGCTTTCCTTATCACTTATCAGTTGTGGGGAAGAAAGGTAGCAAACAAACAGTAGTGGTATCAATACACGTCTAACACATCGACTACTATTTTCAATGTCTTGGTCAGCCAAGAGAAAAAACTCTTCAGTTGTACAGTTATGTACTTCAAAGTTCAATATCTAATACATGCTTAAGCCATATATAGCCCAAACTAAGATCTAATTCCAAATTGCCTTCTCTTTGGGAACAGGGAGTGAAGACAAATGTTGTAATAACACATGGGCTTCACCCTTCATGTCCACCAACCCAAGTACCCAACTGAGGACCGCCTGCGAAACACTTTGTTGTCTTCACAAAAGTTAGACCTGAAGCCATTTACTGCCAAATGAGGAAGCTTCAGATGCCTATATGTGCTTAGCTAGTAAACGATGCAACTATGAGAAGAAAATGTTCAGATGCTTGGGACACCAAAGTAACACCTAAGCATAATCCAGAATTCTCATACCATTTACATCTTTAAAGTATGTTGCGAGTGCATACAAAAAATGGTCACTAAAAAGCTACTTAAATTCATAATTCTAATCATTATATAAAACCTACTATAAAGAGGCTGTTTCCGGATGACCCATAGTGAAAATATTGATGAATGTTTATCAAAGAATTGGATTTTAAAATTAAAAAATTAAAAAAAACATATACAGTAGAAACATTGATGAATGTTTATCAATGAGCACGCTATAAACAACCCCAATCAAGTCCCGACAGCCTGTTTCTCGGAGAATGCGAACAAAATATACATAAAATATAATTAAATTTGTAAAAAATACTGCCCGTGAAATCTAGCCAGCCTATTCATTGGGACAAGTGTATTTTCAGCCAATACAATCTCGACAGCCTGTTCATTGGGGCAAGTATATTTTTAGCCAATCAAATCTCTTCTGGGCATGTATATTTTCTTTATGAAAAGATATTTCATTTTTCTATAACTACTACTACCTAGCAAACACTTTCCGAGCAAAATAAAACTCAAATCTTTTTATCTCTTCTCATCCTCTTTATATTTCTCAGTCTGCAATATGTAAACATATTATTTTATTTGCTCATACAAACTAAAAAAAGTAATTTTTCTATATTGAATGATTTTAAGATGTTTCATGTTAAGGATAAAGAACTACTTTTGAAAGAATGTTAAAGAAATGATTAAAACTGACTAAATTCCAATGCTAAGAGAAGCTCTGCTTCTGTCTGTCTCTGGTGAGGGTAAATATTACTTTAGTTGTATAGTTAGAATTTGTCTATAATGTATAGCAATTAAGTAATGTTTACATACAAATTTTAACTTATGCATGTATTAGAAAATTGACTCCATGTTTGATTTTTGTTTCACTGAGAAGGCATATATATAGAGTGAAAACACCCTTTCTATTTTTCTTTTCACTTTCTATTTTCCTTTCCCGTTCCTTCTATACATATGACCAGCAACGAGAAAAATAAATGTAATTGCTAAATGATGGTGTGCCATATCGGCCAGCCATAAACTTTGCGTTTGGGGATGAAATCCTCCGAGAAACGTTAGAATGACAGTTCCTGCTCCTTGGGAGGTACCAAATAAATGAATACTTGAATCGGGATTTTGAGCATAAATATTCCACTGACCTGTCAAAAGGGGCCCTAATCCTTGAGGGTGTGGTAATACATCTAATACATTATTCCATCGAACGTACTCCCCTCTGGACGCAGGAATCGCAACATGTACTAAATGCCCTGTCCAAGCCAAGGAACTTACGCCAAAAAGTCCTGCCAAATGGTGATTTAAGCGGGATTCGGCATTTTTGAACCATGAAACACTTGGTTTCCACTTAGGTTGTAGGTGTAACCAACCTGCTACTAAGCAAATGGCAGAAATACATAATAGAAAAATAGCTCCAGTATAAAGATCTTCATTAGTGCGTAACCCGATTGTATACCACCACTGATAAACACCAGAATAAGCGATATTCACCGGGCCAAGGGTACCCCCTCTAGTAAAAGCTTCCACGGCCGGTTGACCAAAATGAGGATCCCAAATAGCATGAGCAATAGGTCGTACATGTAAAGGGTCCTGTATCCACGACTCGAAATTTCCTTGCCAAGCTACATGAAATAGATTCCCAGAAGTCCACAAAAAAATTATTGCCACTTGACCGAAGTGCGAAGCAAAAATATTCTGATAAAAGCGTTCCTCTGTGATATCATCATGACTCTCGAAGTCATGTGCAGTAGCAATACCAAACCAAATACGACGAGTAGTGGGGTCCTGAGCTAAGCCTTGGCTAAACCTTGGAAATCTTAATGCCATAGCGCCTTTCAAATCCTCCTAGCCATTATCCGACTGCAATAATTCGTGCTAAGAAAAATGCCCATGTTGTGGCAATTCCACCCAGAAGGTAATGGGTTACTCCTACAGCACGTCCTTGTACAATGCTCAAGGCTCTTGGCTGAGTAGCAGGAGCAACTTTTAATTTATTATGAGCCCAAATTATGGATTCTATAAGTTCTTGCCAATAACCACGTCCACTGAATAGAAACATTAAACTAAAAGCCCATACAAAATGAGCACCCAAGAAAAAAAGGCCATATGCAGATAATGAAGAACCATAGGACTGAATTACTTGGGAGGCCTGTGCCCATAAGAAATCGCGAAGCCACCCATTAATAGTAATAGAACTCTGGGAAAAGTTCCCTCCGGTTATATGAGTTATTACTCTTTGATCATTTATACTGCCCCAAACATCTGACTGCATTTTCCAACTGAAATGAAAAATGACTACCGAAATACAATTGTACATCCAAAATAGGCCTAAGAAAACATGATCCCAGGCCGATACTTGACATGTACCCCCTCTTCCAGGTCCATCACAAGGAAAACGAAAACCAAGATTTGCTTTATCCGGTATCAAACGGGAACTGCGAGCAAATAGAACACCTTTCAAGAGTATAAAGACTGTCACATGAATCGTAAATGCATGAATGTGATGGACCAAGAAATCCGCGGTTCCTAATGGAATAGGTACCAAAGCTACTTTACCACCCACTGTTACTATATCCCCCCAAGTAAAATAGGTGCTTGCTGCTGTACCTGGTGCTAAAGTATGGGTGTTTTGTATCCATTGAGCAAAAACAAGTTGTAATTGTATAGCAGTATTTGAAAACATATCTTGAGGATGCCCTAACGCGCTCATCGTATCATTATGAATATACAAACCAAAACTGTGAAAGCCTAGAAATAGACATACCCAGTTCAGATGTGAGATTATAGCATCACGATGTCGAAGGACACGGTCCAATAGATCGTTGTATCGATTAATTGGATCGTAGTCTCTTACCATAAAAATGGATGCATGAGCGGCAGCACCTACTATAAGAAATCCACCAATCCACATGTGATGTGTGAATAATGACAATTGTGTACCGTAGTCAGTAGCGAGATATGGGTAAGGGGGCATGGAATACATATGGTGAGCTACAATAATAGTTAAAGAGCCTAGCATTGCTAGGTTAATAGATAATTGAGCATGCCATGATGTTGTTAGGATATCGTATAGACCTTTATGGCCCTGACCTGTAAATGGACCCTTATGAGCGTCTAAAATATCTTTTAGTCCATGACCAATGCCCCAGTTGGTACGATACATATGCCCCGCGATAAGTAAAATAATAGCAACAGCTAAATGATGGTGTGCAATATCGGTCAGCCATAGACCACCAGTTACAGGATCTACTCCTCCCCGAAACGTAAGAAAATCGGCATATTTTGACCAATTTAAGGTGAAAAACGGGGTTATTCCCTCGGCAAAACTGGGATAAAGTTGAGCCATAAGATTTTGATTCAGGATAAATTCATGAGGAAGTGGTATTTCTTTAGGATCGACTCCAGCATTTAGAAATTGGTTAATCGGTAAAGAGATATGTACTTGATGGCCCGCCCAAGCGAGAGAACCAAGTCCGAGTAGACCCGCCAAATGATGATTCAACATAGATTCTACATCTTGAAACCAAGCCAATTTGGGAGCTGCTTTATGATAATGAAACCAACCGGCAAAAAGCATTAACGCTGCAAAGACCAATGCACCTATTGCGGTACAATAGAGTTGTAATTCATTAGTGATTCCAGATGCTCTCCACAGCTGGAAAAAACCAGAGGTTATTTGAATTCCTCGAAAACCCCCTCCCACATCACCATTCAATATTTCTTGACCTACTATCGGCCAAACTACTTGGGCGCTAGGCCCAATATGAGTTGGATCACTTAGCCACGCTTCATAATTGGAAAAACGAGCACCGTGAAAATACATACCGCTAAGCCAAAGAAAGATTATAGATAGTTGTCCAAAATGGGCACTAAATATTTTTCGCGATATCTCCTCCAAATCACTAGTATGGCTATCAAAATCGTGAGCATCAGCATGTAGGTTCCAGATCCAAGTGGTAGTATCAGGACCTTTAGCTAGTGTTCTTGAGAAATGGCCAGGTTTGGACCATTCCTCAAAAGATGTTTTTACAGGGTCCCTATCCACCAAAATTTTGGCTTCTGGTTCCGGCGAACGAATAATCATGGAGTCCTCCTATTTTCTTTACGGACAACATATAAAAAGAGACCCGCTAATTTCACCTTTGGTTTATTTTTATCTAAAGCAATTATGATATAAAAGTTGTTACGGGACAAGTGGTCAGATTTATTATTACAGATATATTAAGTGCTCAGCGGACCTTTTTACGTAAAATGGCTTTTTGAAACTCTTAGATGGAGTTTTTGCCTAGAAGATCTGAATTGTGCTCTTACCCCTATTTGAACTGATGCGAGTAATCATTAATACTTGTTTTCTTTTTATCATATTTATGATAAAAAGAAAACAAGTATATTTTGTACCCTATTTGTATTCCAAAATACTAAATGACATAGAACACTTAGTAAGGCATAGAATTCAATAAAAGAATAAATTGTTCAAAGAAAGCAAGGCTAAAGTAGAGTACATTTTTTTATTCGTATCGACCCGTGATCTTCAACCAATTATGGGCTTCTATATAATTACCTGGAGTAAGCACTAAAGCTTGTTTCCAATACTCCGCGGCTTGAGCGAACCAAACCTCTGCAATTTCAGAATCTCCCTCTTGAATAGCCTGTTCTCCCCGGTCGGAATAGGTCGATAAACTCCTTCCCTTAGAACCGTACTTGAGAGTTTCCTACCTCATACGGCTCAAAAACTAACTCTTTTAGAGGTTCCGTTTTCATTAAGATGGATCTTCAATGGATCTTAGTGTTTTTCAGGTTCACTAAAAAAAGTTCATTACACGAGTTTCAAACTGAAATTTGGATTCAAAATAAATTTCGTCTTGTTTTATCTCTTTTCCGACCTTTAGAAGAATCAAACAAATTTAATGATTTTCACTATCATTATAATTTTCTGAAAGGTAACTATCTCGGTTTCTCATCAATTTTTATCTTGATTAGATAGATATATAGATATAGAATCTTTGATAAAAAAGTTACTTAAAAAAAATAAAGAATTACGCTCTTTGGGATCTGATCCTACACCGCTGCTTAAGACTTTAGCGGATCAACTTTATTACATAAGTTGATTCCTAATTTTTATTTTATATCACGAAATAGGGTTTTATCATATCATGACATATGTCCGCAGGTATTATTGTATTGGTCAAAAACCTCGCAATTTCATCTTTACGGTGCTTCCTCTAGATTCTATCAATTAAAACCTTTTTATCCATAGAATAAAGTGACTAGACTTCTTCTGTATTTTGAATTTTCTGAAGTTTCCTTATTTACTACAGCTGATAAAAATCGTTGTTTTATACGATGCATATGTAGGAAGTCTCTGTTTTTTTATAGTATTTTTTTGTCCTTTCTATAGTGGGGATAGTCGCACGTAATGACAGATAACGGCCATATTATTCAAAGCTTGTGGTAAGAATGGATTTCGTTCTAGTGCTCTAAAATAATATTCCAAAGCTTTTGTATGTTCACCATTACTTGTGTGGATAAGACCTATATTATACAATATATAACTTCGATCATAGGGATCCATTTCTAGTCGCATAGCTTCATAATAATTCTGTAAAGCTTCCGCATATTTTCCTTCGGATTGAGCCGACATCCGTTACGGTCGTTAGTAATGAATTTAATAAAAAAAAGAATCTCCGTTTCAAAACCGTACATGAGATTTTCACCTCATACGGCTCCTCTCCTCCCTTATGTGCATCATAAGAATGCATGTAATCAAAAAAAAGAAAATCTAAAAAATATAAATATTCTGATTATCAACTGAGTAGAGCTAGTGTTTATACAAGAAATCTCTAGCCAACCTTCCTGTAAGACCCCTTTTCCTATCATCAAACTTATTTTTTTTTCAGATATGTAGAAATCATAAAAACCTCCCAATCATTTATTTGTTTTCAACGCCTGCTAATTTCCGGAAATTAGTCACTTCAACAGCCTTCGATAGTTATAAAGGTATCCACATACGAACGAGATGGATGCTTGTTTTCGCAACCATTCTTTCACTCCAAAGCACAAAAAGGAGCGGTTTCTTTCAAACAAAGTTTTCATTTTGTTGATTCCTAGATGTAGTGATTATTCCCCTATGTTGCTAATTAGCACTAATAAAATAGGATTTACCAGTGCAACCTATAGGTCTAACCTTCCGCTCAATACTAGAATTTATAAATGAAATCTAGCATTTTAGGTTACATTAATCGAGGATTACACGACAGAAGGAATTGTTAAATTGAATAAACACTTCACCTTCAATAAGCGGAGATTTTTTCAATAACATAATCAATAACTTAACGTGTCTGTCTTTCTCATAAAACTTAGAAAAATTATTCAAGATGAAATAAAAAAATAAAGAAATGATAAATCAATAATCAAATCACACCATCACTGTAATAGGTAAATGCCACTTTTTCTCCTGCCGTTGTCAGCGCACCGGACTACGCGGAGGCAGCAAAACGCCCCCTGCGCATAACACCAACCGGGCAGCATAACGCCCCCGGCGCAGCGGACTACGCGGAGGCAGCATAACGCCCCCTGCGCGCCGGCCCTAGACCTAGCCTAGCCTAACCTAAGCTAATCCCTAACCTAAACTAGCCCTAACCTAAACCTAAACCTAAACCTAACCTAACCTATGGCGCCCAAACCGGGAGCGCCAAACCGGAGGCCGGCCCGAAACGGGCAGCCCACTAGACCCAGCGGGACAGGACTGAGAACAGTCCGTGAGTCCAACTGTTGGGTGGTTTTCTGATCTACTGCTCACTCTTATTTATCGGCACTCAGAGGAGAGGCTCAAACCTCCTGTATCGGTGTGGGATTTATTTTCTTTAATAAGTTTCCTTCTCTGAGTCAGTCAGTCAGCTCTCTTCCTCCAATCCTCCTCCCTAGCTCTGCTCCACAAGCTGGCCGGACCGCCATAGACAGACTCTGCAAACCTAACTCCTCAAACACCGAAAAGCTCACTCTCTCTCACTCTCTCGACCGCAATTGTCATCAACTATGGAAGGACCTCGACTTCTCTCGACCGCAACTGTCATCACCAATAGCCTCCGAGCAGCAGTCGTTTCAATCCGGGCGAATCTCCTCCCCTCTTGCTGGCTTAGCTGGGCGATTGAAGCAGATCTGGCTCATGGCCAGCTGGTTTTGCTTCCAGCTTTGTCTTGCCAGAGAAGAATATGAAGCGTCACCGATTTTTGAGAGTACTGACCCAAGATTGCAATTGCTCTTGATTATTGTTAGTGCTAAATGTCCAAAATGTTAATAAAAACTGCCCCGGCAAATAATGAGATCAAATATTGATAAGTACTTACAATCAATGCCGAGATTAATGTCCTTATTTGTCCCCAGAATCCCGTAGAATTATGCATGGTACAAAAAGTGTCTCTAGCGCAATAGTCAAGGACTAAAAATAGAAAAAATCAAAGTCGAGTACCAAAAGTGTCAATGACATAATAGTCGGATGACTAAAAGTGGAAAAAACTCTATTTTTATTTCACCTTTTGTTATTTCTTATTTCTCCTTTTCTTAAAATTGTTAATAATTTTTTTATTTTTGATATGATTTTTATAAAATTTATATCAAAAATTTTTAATTTTCATGATCTTTCAAATGAAACCAATATTGCCTATGTAATTTTAATTTTGTACATTCATACATTTTTTTGTAATACTCCGTATATTTTTATATGCATACACTTTTTCTATAATATATTTTTTATCACTTTTATATGTTTTTAGATATTTTTAAGATATTGAGTTTGTTTATTTTGTTTCTAGCTTGGAGTTACATTTGATAATATACGAAGTGTTGAGTGTAAATCCCGTAAATCCGAAAGCCCAACACGAACTTTGGATATATCAGGAATGGTACAGAATCAAAGTGTATAAAAAAATATAAGATATTAACTCACTAATACTCGAAAGCTCACTTGTATTAACTAACCAGTCTGATTACAAGGAATTTCCCGATCGGTAGGTCTGAAACAATGCTTTAATACAAGAAATAAGAGCAATGATGTTATTCTAGAGCCTGAGTATTGAAATGCTAACGCTTACAATGATTTTAAACATTCTATTTATACTAATGGAGAGCATGGGCTGCCCTGTGCTGATTGGCTGTTGCTCCACCGACTTGGTCACCCATGTTTCCACT